GAAACTGAATTGGACTAGGGAGGGGGGGCGCGGCCCCTCTTTCCCTCTCCCTCTCCCTTTCTTTCCTTCCCCCTTAGGTTTCCTAATTGGATTAGGAAAGGGGAGTCCTACTCCCACTAGGAGGAGGACTCCCCCTCCCCTTGGCGCGCCACATAGGGCCGGCCGGCCTCCCCCTTGCTCCTTTATATACGGGGGCAGGGGGCACCCTAGGACACACAAGTTGATCCACGTGATCGTTCCTTAGCCATGTGCAGTGCCCCCTGCCACCATATTCCACCTTGATCATATCGTTGTAGTGCTTAGGCGAAGCCCTGTGTCGGTAGAACATCATCATCGTCACCACGCCGTTGTGCTGACGGAACTCATCCCCGAAGCTTTGCTGGATCGGAGCCCGGGGAGCGTCATCGAGTTGTACGTGTGCTAAGAACTCGGAGGTGCCACAGTAACGGTGCTTGGATCGGTCGGATCGGGAAGACGTACGACTACTTCCTCTATGTTGTGTCAACGCTTCCGCAGTCGGTCTGCGTGGGTACGTAGACAACACTCTCCCCTCTCGTTGTTGTGCATCACCATGATCTTGCGTGTGCGTAGGAAAATTTTGAAATTACTACGTTCCCCAACACCATTCCCAATTTCTTAAGTTCCGATAAGTGATGCAGTGCACGTGCGTCACTTGTCGCTAGATTCATTTGAAGGTTTTATCTCTTCAACCGTGCGTCTAAATACGAATCGTTTTCATCATTAAATTTTCCGAGTCGAAATCTTCAAAACTAATCTCATGTTAACAGGTTTCAAAGAATTCTTTTTCATGGAAAAACTGGGAAAAACCAAAAAAAGTAGAAAAAATACTATAACAGAAAAGCAGCAACAAAATGAAACGAATATGGGGAAAACCGAAATAAAAAAAAGGAGCCCGAAAAGCACGGTTCAGTTTTTTTTGTTTTGAAAGCACAAGCTATGTTTTTCCCTTTCTTCAAGGAAGCGCATGATGTGACTATTTTAGGAAGAACAGGCTGTGTTTTTTTTTCTTTTTTCAAAGAAACGCAGATGTGCTTTTTCCTTTTCAAGAAGCACTGATGTACTTCAAAAAATATCACCAAAGCGTTAGGAAACTGAATTGGACTAGGGAGGGGGGGCGCGGCCCCTCTTTCCCTCTCCCTCTCCCTTTCTTTCCTTCCCCCTTAGGTTTCCTAATTGGATTAGGAAAGGGGAGTCCTACTCCCACTAGGAGGAGGACTCCCCCTCCCCTTGGCGCGCCACATAGGGCCGGCCGGCCTCCCCCTTGCTCCTTTATATACGGGGGCAGGGGGCACCCTAGGACACACAAGTTGATCCACGTGATCGTTCCTTAGCCATGTGCAGTGGCCCCTGCCACCATATTTCACCTCGATCATATCGTTGTAGTGCTTAGGCGAAGCCCTGCGTCGGTAGAACATCATCATCGTCACCACGCCATTGTGCTGACGGAACTCATCCCCGAAGCTTTGCTGGATCGGAGCCCGGGGAGCGTCATCGAGCTGTACGTGTGCTAAGAACTCGGAGGTGTCAGAGTAACGGTGCTTGGATCGGTCGGATCGGGAAGACGTACGACTACTTCCTCTATGTTGTGCCAATGCTTCCGCAGTCGGTCTGCGTGGGTACGTAGACAACACTCTCCCCTCTCGTTGTTGTGCATCACCATGATCTTGCGTGTGCGTAGGAAAATTTTGAAATTACTACGTTCCCCAACACCATTCCCAATTTCTTAAGTTCCGATAAGTGATGCAGTGCACGTGCGTCACTTGTCGCTAGATTCATTTGAAGGTTTTATCTCTTCAACCGTGCGTCTAAATACGAATCGTTTTCATCATTAAATTTTCTGAGTCGAAATCTTCAAAACTAATCTCATGTTAACAGGTTTCAAAGAATTCTTTTTCATGGAAAAACTGGGAAAAACAAAAAAAGTAGAAAAAAAATACTATAACAGAAAAGCAGCAACAAAATGAAACGAATATGGGGAAAACCGAAATAAAAAAAAGGAGCCCGAAAAGCACGGTTCAGTTTTTTTTGTTTTGAAAGCACAAGCTATGCTTTTCCCTTTCTTCAAGGAAGCGCATGATGTGACTATTTTAGGAAGAACAGGCTGTGTTTTTTTTTCTTTTTTCAAAGAAACGCAGATGTGCTTTTTCCTTTTCAAGAAGCACTGATGTACTTCAAAAAATATCACCAAAGCGTTAGGAAAC